TCCTCGCTTTGATGTGAACCTCTCTAAGTAATCACATCGGTGCAAGAGAATTGTTGTGAATTGAAATTCTTGAAATCACACCTTGGATATGCCGGGATTCAGAGAGTCTTGGACTAGACGTTCGGCTAAAGGAGAGCATTATACCTCAAGGCCACAGTGGGTGCAGCTGTTCCAATAGCTGACCCTGACTGCCATAATTAAACCATTGTGCCATTTAGCAAAATAGAGTCGTTTGCAAACAACTTTGGTTTTGCGAGAGGCTCACGTGGAACCCAGCTATATCTCACGTTTGTGATGTCTCCAGGCAACTGTATGTGCTATACCAAGCCACCTCATGTTTCAGTTGCTACGATATTCGAGATATCACGATACACGTATGATCGTATTGCTCTACTCATAAGGTTGCTGAAAATTCGCCGACACCCCAGGAGCCGCTTTGCCCTCCTTGGGGCTCCTCAGGTAGGCGCAGTCCCCGAGTTTCCATCAACCTTATGTTTTACTTGAAACCAAATTGCACGAAATTAGCGCATATACACACATTTGCAAACAAATTCGGTTTGGCGAGAGGCTCACCTGGAAACCAGCTGAGTCTCTCGTTTGTGATGTTTCTAGGCAACCAGGCAAACCAGGCCGCCTCATGTTTCAGTCGCTACAATATTCGGGATATCGCGACGCACCTATATTCGTAATGCACTACTCATAAGGTCGAAGAATTTTCAGCAAACTTATGAGTAATGCATTACGAATATACATTGTGCCATTTCTTCCATTGAATAGAGCATTCGTCTTTCCAAAAGGAGATTTAGAGGGTTCCTGAGCATGCTTTTTACCCATTGTCTTTGTTAAGTAATCGCAGTGATCGCTGACCGCTCGACCGCTACCGGTGACATTGGTACATCCAAGTCCGATCCCATAGCAACATGTAGTTAAAACGTGGCTGTGTCGAAAAAGCGTACACGTTATCCATTTGACTTTGAAAGGCGGAAGATCGATTGACACAGCCACTGAACACAACCTATTAGGGACAATCATCACGCTGTGCTAATCTGAGCAGCCATTCTTCAGTCCGGCAATCGTCCTGCTGGTTAGCTCACAGGAAAGTGGGATTCAAATGGCCTCACCAACAGTGTTTTCCTAACCTTGGCCACACCGGACAGCACGACGGCACACGTTAGAACAATTGAATTGTGGCACCCTAGCAACAGTCCGTCCCCTAACCGCTAAGGACCTCGTATTTGGGCAGTACTAAGGGCGCGCGAGACCTGTTGTACAACTTTCAAATGAAATGTATATCGAAATGTTTTTACACACCTGCAGGAGTGTATCGATTATTTACATGCCACCTTAACCAAAATCGATTACTCTTGTAGCCACTCTACATCAGTGCATGTGGTTCGTAGACTGTACAAATGACACAGTGGGGCTATGAATACCACGACTGGCTTAGTAAGCACAGATCACTTGAGATACTGACGAAGACTCATCACTCGTCAGAAGTTTCGATAAATTGCCCCAGACTTACCACTCAGGGATATCATGGCACTTGGCGCTTGCCAATCGATTACACTTTTGAACAGGAGATGGTGAACCAATGGACGACTTGCATTTAGGTAAGTTGTTAATAAATATGTGGGTGAGGTGAGATGGCTCAAGTGGTTAGAGTGCGAATTTACTGACCAGAAGGTCCATAGTTCGAATCCGACCTCTGCCTCTCGACTTCCCCTGTCTAGGCTTGGGCAACCTGGCAGTATCCTAGCCCTCGTGGTTCCTTCGGGTAGCATGGCAACTAGGCACCGGAAGGGCGTTACAGCTGAGCGATTTTTTTCTAAATTTGTGGATAAAATTTGCACTATTTCTCGCTCGAAACCTCACACCACACACAAGTTAGTAGTCCAGAGGCGAACATTTCTAGGAACATAATTTACTGGACTGTAGGCGAGTCTATGTAGATGGGAAACAACTGGTAGTCTACTTGGGGGTGAACTGTTCGTTCTGTTGCCAGACAACCTCCTTTCGTAGCATAACGTGTGCATACATGGGTTGGTCAGCTGGCCTGAGTGACGGAATAAAGAGTGCCGGAATAAAGAGTTTCCACGAAATGTTTGCTTTCTATGAGGTGTTAAACGCAGCAACCTAAGAAACAAAGCCACACACCACGAGGACAATTTGACGTGTATTTGACGAATATTCTTTTACTCAGCTACACATGAACGGATGGCTCGCCCATCGACCAATCAGTTCGTTCCGCCTGATTTCATTCTCCTTGGGAAGTCAGAGGACGTCTCCTAAAAAGGATGATTCCAGCAGTTTGTGGCATTCAATTCCTTCGTCACCAAGTGACTTTTAATTTGCGAACAATGCTGAAGGTATAAGTTTGCGTGGAGTGTCTACGGCTAGTCTATTGCGGAAATTTCAGGATCACCTGAATGGGGATTTCATCCAGTAAGAACAGCCAACGTATGCTGAAAAGCTGAAAAGCATTCTTATTGGGGATCGGCGACGCACATCTCACGACTTTGTGGGGGTGACTTGTAACCAAACGATTAAGTGTTCTGACTACTTGCCTGGAGGTCGTGGGTTCAGTACTCCTTGCGCGAACGCACGTTCGCGTGTCACAAGTCCCTGAGACAATTCAAACGCACAACCCCTACGCTTAAACCATGGAAAATAAGGGGAAACTCAGACTATTTATGGTAAACGGAAGTAAATGTCTAGATAGAGTGCTTGTAGTTCGCATCCCGCCCACCCACGCCTACGTGAAGTCTGAAAATCACCTGACTGACCTCATTTAAACTAACGACAAACGTAACGGTGTTATCAAGAAAAGAGAGCGGTTTTTTCTCCTCCATCGGCTAATGGATCTTTTTGCTCTTGACGTGCACCTGACTTACGTTTCCGCTCAGTCAAAATATGAACTTGACGGAACACACTACTCACAGGGTTGCTGAAATATCTTCAGGAGCCCACAAATGAGATGTGTGGCGGCCGGGTGCAACACATTTAATTGATTGAGCCGGATTCAGTTGATGCTCGTGTCAAAAGCACATCAGTGTGGAGAAGAGAGTATTTGTCGAAATCTGTCCGATTTGGATTCAGGTAGAAACTCGGAGATTGCCCTCACCCGAAGAGATTCAAGGACTGCGGGTCGCGGGTTATCGAGCTTTTCTCAGGAATCTTATGTGTAAGTAGTATTGTGAGTAGTGTTTTCCGTCAAAAAATATACGGTGATATCTCGACCCAGCCATCTAGAATACAAGCTGTTCTAGACAAAACTCTAATAAAAACCTGAAATATTTCGATTTTTCAGGCAAACCCTAGGTGATGTTGATTTTCCCTGCATCTATTTTCCAAAAAATCTAAACCGTAGTTTTTTAGTCTCTGAAGACAACACCGGTTACGTAGTCCACAGGTCCAATGAAGACCCCGTGTCTTCCTTTATGCCACAGTTCATTCGGATAACCTGTGTGTGAGTTTCATCCCAATGGGCTGCTCGCTCTGTTTCTCGGTTACAAGCATTCACACGATAACTTGCTACCAGTCTTTTTCATAAAGGTTGCTGAAAACGCTTCGACAGCCCATGACCGGTTTGACGCTTCTTAAGGCTCATCAGGTTAGCGCACTCCCCGAGTTTCCGTCAACCTTATGTTCTACTTGAACCCAAATTGGACTGTTTTCGAGAAATACACTCAATGGCGAATCAATTAAGTTCTCACGAGAGACTCAACTGAATCTGCGCCTACCTGATGAGGCCCAAGCAGGGCGAAACCGGTCGTGGGCTGTCAAAGTGTTTTCAGCTACCTTGTGAGTAGTTTCCTTTATGAAAATATAATGCGATGTCTCGAATATCGTGCCAACTAAATCATGATGCGACCTGTGTGCAGCACACTCAGTTGTAGAATATCATAGACGAGAGATTCATTTGAGTCTCTCGTGAAAACCAAACTGATTTGCTACCAATCTGTTGAAAACGTGTCTCGAACTCAATTTCGACAAACACCTTTTTTGTTATTGAAAAATTCTGGCGATAAGTTTGTGGAACACACAAATTTCTGAACGGCAAACACAAATCCTGTTGGCATTGTCGGGCAGGTAGTCACACATAGACGGAATGNAAGCACCTGCCCGTCCCATCTCTAGTTTAGAACTGCCTACGCTAACTTCCTTCAGGCATTCAGATGACACCGAATTCTGGGCTATTGTTGGAGCCACAAAACAGGCCTGAAAGATGTCAAGTGCTTATCTGGCAAGCAGATCTATTCGAAAGAAATCTGACGGTTAGGTGGTGTGATGGAGAGTAAATTTATTGGCAATTCGCTTGTCGGAACAGTGACCTGGTAGTCGGTAGGTCGACGGTTTCTGTCGACCCCAGAGAATGTCGGTGAGACCTCATTTCACTACCTGTTGAATTCAAGACATTGCATTGAAGGTATCCGCGAAATGCTTAGCCGGGGGGTTGCATTCGAGCTTCACTTCCAGAAAGTTCATCAGGTGCTAAACTTATACCCATTTTCCCTTTCAGAGTTTCCAAGAACGAACTTTGTCTTCACGGTCCATGATAAACAATACCGTTTCCATACGTTCTTCTTAGTTATTCTGTTCTGTTCTCAAACTGCATTCGATCCAATTGCTTTAACAAGACATCCAGCTGGGGCATACATGTATGCATACATTTGTATCGTTCCGAATATCCTCTCCATTGTCGTTTGCATGTCCTTGAGACAACTTTCAATGCACGTCCCTTTTTCAAAAAAAAACCGTGGACTATTTCCGTTTCATCCGTCGCCTTAACCCGACTTTTGATTGATGAGCTAGCAAGCGTCCAGACGTCTTCAACCGTTTATTTTTTGCCTCTGTTACTAAATGTGGAGTGGATGGACAACTACTGACAAATATCATTCAGTTGCGTCATCTTTGTGCCTGACTGTTCGTTTGGGCAAACAGCGATAACAGATATGACTGTTTGTTTTTTGCAAAACAGGTCTCTCTGGCCCGGCCCAGTTGCGAATCGATCAAGGGGGCGAATTTGTATATTTGTGGACTTCCAAAAACCATGACAGAAAACGAATTGGAGAGGTTGTTTCAACAATGCGGCAAAATTATCACCTCCAGGATACTCTGTGATAACATTACAAGTGAGTTGATTTTCGCAGTGCACAACTTTCCTTTGTACTTGTGTTTTATGGGACATGTTTAGAGTACAGGTCATAGAGTTGTCCGTGAATGCCACTCGAGTCTGTGTATGCATGTGAGCAAATGAGAAACTCATTGGCACTTGACTGAGTTATTGAGTTTCATTCCATCAAATTGAAAACCTGAACTTAAATACCACTGGTTTCTTCGTTTACGGAGCGGATGTATTAGCATCCCAAGGTTGACGAAATGCTTACTCCTAGTATATGCACCCCCAGTACCGTGTGCAAACATATGTCATTCGGGTATACTGGGAAGGTGCCGTAGAGCTCGAAGGAAGTAATGGAGGTTCCCGGCACCCCGGTGTCATGAAGTCCTTCGTCGTCGAACATGATCCTTTTGGGTCTCCAACAGCATCCAAGGGAATGGGTTCCGCAAAGCCAGGAAACGCACAAGAATTCCCTCCTATCAATCGTCCTTCCCACGTGGAAAACGTTCATTTTAAAAGGCCAGAGCATTTGACAACCAATTCGGGGCTTAAAATAATCCACTTTTACGGCTCACCTTGAACGTTTGTGGCAGTGGGGGACGACCTTCAACCGAACAGCTAAGGAATTAGTTGAGGAGCTGCCTCCAAGAAGAAGCCATTGGTAGCTGCATCTTGGAGGGTGATTCTAGTCCTTCAGGGATATCATTCTGCCACATGCGATAGCCTCGCACAGAGAGATAACGGAAGCATTCCAATGTTCCCCTCTGATAATTTCGGCGATCTGCTCTGCTCTCATACGCACACATTTTTAGCGGCCAACCGTTCCACCGGTACATATTTTTCGCTGTTCACGGAATTCCCGTTTCAAATTAACCTTTTCACAACCCCAATGCCAAACCGCCAAACTCAACAGTTAGGTCAAATAGTGTTGATTCGTGAAATGCTCTCATTTGAATCTGGAATAGTGTTGATTCGTGAAATGCTCTCATTCGAATATGGGAGACTCACCTGGAACTCAGCTGGATCTCTCGTTTATGACTGAATGTGCTTCATCAGATCGCCTCATGTTTCAGTTAGCACGATGTTTGATATATCGGGGTACACTTTATAAACTTAATACACTACTCAATAGGTCGCTGATAACCCTTGGATAGCCCATAACTGGTTTCGCCCTACTTGGGGCTCATCAGGTAGGCGCAATCTTCAACTTTCTGTCAACCTTATGTTCTACTTGATCTCAAATTGAAAATATGTTGACAGTTAATCTCATCTGAATACGAAATTGGTTTCGATAGAAGACTCAACTAAATTCAGCCGGATATCTCGTTTATGAACTGCTAGTTTTCTTCGCTTGATCTACAGTTTCACGGAACGAACAAACTAATCGCATTTCTCCCGACTTGTGATAAAATTCGTTCATACAGCGCGCTCGCGAAGACCTCTGAAGCATACAAAGTTCTAAGAATCAGTCGTCATTTCAGATGAATTCTAGGTCAACGCGTTTATCTCATGTATATCGATTAACGCAGAAACCTGGAGTAATTAACGGACAAAACGAGAACCTGAATGATAAACAACTATCGAATAGTGATTTACAACAGGTTCTTGGAAGTTCACTCACCAATGTCACTCCATCGGGTTTGCACGCGGGTGTCCTACAGGCTCCACACATAGCTTCTCAACAATGCGAAGGCATCCGGTAGTTCGATCACGTTTGACCAGGAAATCCGACTTTGGTTACCTGGCCTCATATCAACTGTCCAGGAGGTAAAGATGATCAGTAAACACATGCCGAGAAAAAGCTGAAGTCCTATAACAGAATCCCTCTCGTTCCCTAGCAAGTATCGTGTCAGTATTCTTCTAGAGTGAGCAACTATTAGCTGGCAATTACTTTCCCCCTCCTAGTTGGGACCGAGTATCTGAATGAAATTGCTAGCGTATAATTTGAGAAGCAAGTCGAACCAAACGGTGTCACGTGACTTTACACTTGTCTGGAATTTAGATTTTTGCTTGTCCCAGTAAACGGCCGTGATCCGCAGGGAGATGGAGAATTCTAATGGACCGTGTGATCTTGAAATGTCAAGCTGATTTAAACATCTGTCTCTGGGGGGGGGGAGAGATTCGTTTCGGAGCCAATTTGATCTGCGATTTGTCTAATGGTGTATCCCTTCAGACGTTCACGGCTATGCGGTTTGGCAGCATAATCCCGTGTCTGTAGGGTTATTACGGGCATTCAAAAAAAACAAATGCTTGAAAGGAAATAAAATTGTTTCTGTAAGGAAACTACTCACAAGGTTGCTGAAAACTCTTCGACAGCCCACGACCGGTTTCGCCCTTCTTGGGGTTCATCAGGTAGCGGCAGTCCCCGAGTTTCCGTCAACCTTATGTTCTACTTGAACCCAAACTGTGAGTAGTTTCCTTTGTGAAAATATACTGCGATATCTCGAATATCGTGCCAACTGAAACATGAGGCGGCCTGTGTGCGGCACATTCAGTTGTAGAATATCATAAACGAGAGATTCAGTTGAGTCTCTCGTGAAAACCAAATTGATTAGCAAATGAGTGTATTCCTCGAAAACTGTTTCTGATTTGTAAAAAAACTGGGGACGAGATGGCTCAGTGATTCGAATGCGTGTTTACTGACCATGCCTACTTCTGGTGATATGGTGATGGGAATCGAAAGAATGCTACATTTGGATGATTTTTTGACAAAAATATAAATTACTCTCTTCTGAATAATCCTTCTGGTGAGTCCATACCAACGGGTGAGGAACAACTGGACTCGAGTTTCACTCAGTGCATCCTCGACCTTGCAGGGCTTTGAACTCCGGACAAGTGACATGCAAAATGAGGGTGTTAACACCTCTCCCTCTGCGCAAGCTAAAAATTATCACGTCTGAAGGACAGGTAAACGTGTTGATGCTCAAGCAGCTGTGGTTTGTCCGACATATCCCACGGCCTGGTTGTGTCGACCGATTGGTCCGTTTATCGGTAATTCCCAGTCAGTTAGCGCCAAGGGTGTTTGTTTGACCATTAACCGCTCTGATGTGATAACTTTGGTGCGTTTAGCGTTGATTGGCGGTGATTATAGGCTCGTTTCGCGTGTCACATGTTCGGAGTTCAAAACCCAGCGTGGTCCAGGATATGCTGAACTACTGATGAGCTCTTATAGGAGACCTATTCGAGTCCAGTGCTTCCCCCCACATTTGGTGCAGTCTCACCAGATTTCTTGCTACAGGACAGGGGGCAACCGTTCAAACAAGAGTCAGGTGAACGATGTGAAGAGAACCCTAGGAGTTCCGTAACCACCTACAACCACCCACAACAACTGTTTCACACAGTAAAGGTGATAAATGGAAACGCAGCACTATCGTGAACCTTAACCTAACTGGTCTTCACGTTCAGCTGTGACACCTTTCTTGTGTTTACCTGTCATGCCGCCCGAAGGAAGCCAGA